CAAGAGGTAGTGGGGGGATGAAAGATGGGTGTCAGCCTCTGAAGGACAAGGGAAAGGTGTGGCCTAGACCTCCTAGGATTCTGCATCTGAGATCCAGTCTCTAAAGAGGTTATGGATCATCCATTTCTTCATTCGATTCCTCCATTTGTTATGTGAGAGCACCTGAGTGTGTGTCTCTCACTGGGCCTGTGCTAGTGCAGGGTGTGAGTGGGGAAAGAAAACAAGCTCCTCTCCTTTATCCTGTCATGCCAGTGACATGGACACTTTGGGAAACACAGGATTTCAGGTTCAGTGACAGGGGTTAAGATCTGAGAGGTAGGCCTGGACATTTTTTGCACTGACTCTGACAGTTGAGGCAGGTGATTTAGTTCTGGAGAACAGACTAATCAGCTGACCATTTGCTCTCACTCCTCTGAGGTTTGGATGCCGAAGGTGAGAGGATTTGAGCCAAGATATGACTACGGGGCCCTTGGATCCCAGTAATTCCTCACTTCTGGTGGAGGAGAGGATGGGCCTGTGGCTGCAGACAGACCTCATGTGACCTTGATCTGCCTTTTGTGTTTGTGTGACTCTCGTTCAGTGACTGTGCCTTCCTGTGCCTCAGTTTTCTCTCAGTCAAATAAGCTAAATGACGAATGGATTGCGGCTTTTCATGCTATCTGTGAATAAATTGTAAATTCTTCACAGTCACCTGACCTAAGGCTTGGCACAGTGGAGGTGTTCACACAAACAGCATTTATTATTATTCACTTCCATGAGAGAGCACCTTTAGGTCAGATCCCAGTGGATAAGCTGTTGCCAAGTACATTTTCTGTCTTCTGTTTCTGCTTCTGGGGACTTTAGACTTTCTATGGAGTGTCCTAAGCCACACAAGGCAGTTGACTGATGGTCTACAAAGCTTGTCTTTCTGTCCTCTCCACTCTGTGTCTCCGGTGAAGAAAGCTCTGTCCTTGCCTAGATGAGGCTCTGAGGGCTGAGCCGTGGCTGGTGAGCAGCTCCGGGAGACACAGTCCTCAGACAGCTGGTGAATCCTTGGTCCCAGTAAGCCCTGCCACAACCCAGACCTGGCACAGGCTCATCAGCTTCATCTGGAGTAAGGATTTAGGGACAGTGGTCTGGGGTTCAGGTTTCTAGGGCTGAGCTTCTCTGAGAGTATCTCAAGGGGCCTCTTAGGCAAAGCCCTACTCGGTTCTCCAGGGTCTTTCTCAGGGTCAAGTTTATGAAGAGGGCATGAGGTGCTTGCCTGAGACTGATCTCCTGCTGGGCACCCCGCTCCCCCCCCCCATCAGACTGTCCTTCCTGTGCAGCAAGTGTCTGCAGGGTCTGGAGGCAGGAAAGGAATTCTGATCTGTTGTGGTTTGTCTCCTCTGTGTGTGTTCTGCACTAAATACCGAAACCCCAACATGGGACATAATGCAGAGAGGGACAGAGGCACAGTCTAGGTCTGACAATCCTGTGTGTGCAAAGTAGAAGTGACCCCCACCCCCCAACACCTAGGGATCATGTGGAATCACTCACGGTATAAGGTGTAATGTCCAGTTACTCCTTCAGTCCTATGTCCTCGCTTTATGATTTGTATGGTGTAGGATCCTGTGTCATTCTTGGTAACACTCTGGATCAGGAGGGATGCATTGGAATATATTGTTTCTCGTCCACTGTATGCAGGCCCAAATATAATCATTTCAGTGTCTGTTGTATATGCTGTAATGTAATGCTGGAGGTCCATTATTTGCCCTTTGTACCAGATGTAGCCAACAACGTTCGTGGGCAAATTGTGGACAAGTAGAAGAACATCCTTCCCCTCAGAAACTTTGGTTGGCTGAGATTCAATCGTGACTTGGGCAGTGGTGGGCGGGTTCCAGAAGATTAAAAGTGATGCTAGGAGGTGGAGAGAGCATCAGTCAATATTGAGACCTATGTATTGGGATGAAAAGATGGGGCCTTGGGTCCTGAGAAGATTTCTTCAATCATCAGCCTTGTAGACACACACACAAACACACACACCCCTTTTTGTGTGTATGTGTGTGTGTATGTTTTTGTCCTACTGTCCTACTGGGTCAAGGTCAGCAGCACGACCCCCATTCGTTCAACCCTTCTGACCTCGGAATTTTTCTCTTTGGAATCCTCTTCCCCTGGGGTCTGCATGGCTCCCTCCACACTGCCCTCAGGTCCTGCTCACATCAGGGCGTACTTAGACTTCTTTCCTGACACCTCCTTCAGAGACCCTGGGTCTTCCATTTCTGACCTTTTCGTGCTCTGCTCCCTCCGGAGCTCTGGTCAACACCTGACCTCACATTCTAGATCTCTTTGCATGTCTGTCTTCCTGCCCAT